CACTGAGCGACCCAATTCTTTGAATCAAAGAAAATTTCTTTACCCTCATTCCGTTAAATATTTTCTTATGAGTAAAAAAATATAAGTTAATTGAAAATAATATTTTATTAAATTAAAATTTTCTTTTGTTAATTACGAATTTCTCATTTAGTTGTACGAAATGTTTTTTTGGATTGACTAAATTTGTTTCAATTAAAAGAAAATATTTAACGGAATGAGGGTAAAGAAATTTTCTTTGATTCAAAGAATTGGGTCGCTCAGTGCATAAATATGTTCATTAGATCCCACAGATTAGGAAACTTCTTGTTGCCACTGCGCAACCTGGTCACAATTTGTTTGAACTAACTTTTTTTAAACAAATTGGTAAAAGTGATTTTTTCGATCTAAAAGAAATATATTAAGTTTCTTTGAGTCATTCTGAACAAAAAACCAATTGGGATGTATATACCTAAACCCCACAGTTTTCGAGCGAAAAATTCCCAAAGATCTGAAAAATGCGAATTTTTCAATTTTCAGAGCGTTGGTGAGGAATGAAAATAAAACATTTTTGGAAGGTACACCACGTAAACATGAAGTGTTAACCTTCCTCTACAATTTCCAAAAAACGAAAATTGAAAAAAATAATGGCAACATTTTTACAATAAACATTTAGGCTATTTCCGCGCTCGCCCGAGCTGACTCCCAGTACTAGTGTTTGACTATATATATCATCGAGCCCGAGTGCGCCTGACGCGTCGATGAAAAGTAGCCACGAATCCTAAGATGTTATGAAAGCTAACATCTCCGGCGAAATACCAGGGGATACCTAGCCAGAGCACACTCTGCTCTAGCAATTTGGTGTTTTATGGCCATTCTTCTAACCAACCTGGTGCTGCTACCAGAGCAGATTATATTACAACAGTAAGTCAGGGAGAACAAGCCTGAGTTCGGGCAGCCACAACAGCCTCCTCAGTGATTCGTAGGAACGGCATGTCCACAGAGAAAGTATTCTCCAGACCCACTTTTCCAACTACCGATAAGCGGTTGGATATCTGGGGAACGACCCGAAGACGAGATATTCTTTAGTCAGTGACGTACCTTCCTCCAGCAGTCTCCGTACGCTAACTCCAAAGGTTAGAGTCGAGCTACCCGCACAGCCAGCTCTCCATCATCAAGAATAATAATAAGTAATGGCTAGAAGTATCACTAGGGGTAAGTGTACCTATCTCCGTGGCACGTACTAAAAATTCCAACTTAAGGACGTTCGGTAGTGTTAGCGGGGGGAAACATTTGCGCGGTGAGGGGAAACCAGCGATGAATGAAGATTTGGCAACGTCGTACGGGTCTTAAATGTGTGAGTGTTCATGTACACGCATCAGGTGTCTCTGCACACTCTACACTGTCTGCTCGTCTGCTGCGTGCTGCGTCGGTTACGACAGCGTTCGTGTATCAATGTTTTTGTGATAAAGCTGTAAGTATTTGTTACATTTTTCGAATAGGAAAAATCATAAGCTTTCAGATCTTGGAAAAGACTTATTGACATTGTCTGTTGAAAACGCTCATAATGCAATAGTTGATATTGATTTATTAGAAAAATTAACCGCTACATATCTTTCATGGGATGATATTTCAACGAACGTGTTTTCCGTAAAAGATGTTCTTGCGAAAATTCAAAGAATTTCTGATGAAAAAATGTATTCGCCAACTTTTTCCCCCATGTCGTCTATCATTCCCAAAACAGTGATTAAAAATCTAAGTCAAAATAAAGTAGATTTTAATATTATTGTTGATAAATTTATGGAAGGTAATGATGGTTTAAGATCGTTTCTAATAAATGGGCAAAGCCCTTTAATCAAAAGAGCTACCAGTGTAAATAAAATACTTGAATTTTTAAATGACTTGACAAGTCTCANAGACTGATGCAACAGATACCTACGTGTAGGTGTGTGCAGTGCATGAGCACGCGCTTGGCCCTGCGAGTAGCGCGTATGTCGTAGCTCCACACTACTAGAGAGACACGCCTGGTCATGCCTACACACACTATCATGCAACCGAGGCAATACGGATCTCCTGACGATACGTCGCCCGCCTTTAAATCTAGTACGATTGTACACCTGTGATTGAGACATCCACGGTAATATGTACACGGTAATAGGTACATGACCACGGTAATACCTGCATACTATTTTTGTTAATTTTAATAATAATCCATTCAACTTTTAGCCTCGAAAAAAATTTTTAAATAATCTTTAAGAGTTTATGCAAGACTTAAGAAAAAAATCCATAGGATTTTGTCATTACTCAATATTTTATGGTGCATTTAATCTGGATTTCTTAACATACGCCACGGAAATAGGTACACTTACCCGTAAGTGTTGAACATAAAACTGAGTTCCTAGACTGGGTCTGGTCCAAGGGAATGGCAAAGGAGTGCATCTCAATGGTGAAGGAAAAGGATGAGTGAATATCCATATTTCCCATAGGGGTAAGTGTACCTATCTCCGTGGCACGTACTAAAAATTCCAACTTAAATGCACCATAAAAAATGGTATACTAAAATTTTTTGGAATACTTTTTTTTTTAAATCTTACATAATCTCTTACGGAATATTAAAAAAAATTTTATGAAGCTAAAACTGCAGTAGAATATTTTTAAAACGAATAAAAACGGTATGCTGGTATTACCGTGGTTGTGTACCTATTACCGTGTACGTATTACCGCGGATGTATAGGGTTATGTTTACGTACGCTCACCGCGGAAATACGTACACAATCAGTTAATGAGCGCGTTGTACCGAATACCGTGGAAAATAATTATTTACTCAAAATATACACAAATATTTCTGTTTAAATTGCATCTACATTAACGTCATTTTAGATTATTAAAATTGAAAAATTATTTTATATGAAACATTTCTTATTTTGAGCAAGTAATCATCAGTTTTTTAAAATCCACGGCAATAGGGCAGATCACGGAGATAGGTACACTTACCCCTACTGGTTCTTTTCAGGGCCATCATAAGTATTTACGTCCCCTACTTGACTATCAATCTCATAAGTTCTTTTTAGAGCCACCTAAATTTAAACTACCTTGCCAACAAATACATGTTTACTATCGTTGCCGGCAACGATTCGTCGACTAAAAAACCATATAAAGCCGGACGAAAATAAACCAAGTCAGTCATTCACTGGCAGACGTCACGAGGTAAGTTACTTATCGCAAGGCTAGGAACCACGGTGACTGACGACCCTACATGACATTACTCTCTCGGCTCTATAAGCAGTCAACCAGGAACCACCGATGCTCTCCGAGGTCTGCGCTGGGTAAACCTAACAGCTATGAAGGAAAAATAAACTTTATCAAACGGGACAGTCTCCAACGGGTAAGCATCACGAACCAATCTCTTCACCTTAGATCACCATAACAACTAAGTCTGCAAAAAAAGAAGGTGCTTTAGACACCAACGTCTCCGGCGTAACACCAGGAGACGTTGGTAAAGATCTCAAGAGCTCAACAACTACTTCTAACGCTTTAGACGTTGTAGTTTTCCTCCCGATCAGTGTGGTGCTACAAAAATAGGCCAGAGAAGATAACCCTGAGGTGTATAGGCAATCACGTTTGCGGGAAACTTTAGTCAAGAAAGAGTTTAGTGCACCAGTCCATTTGGGGCCATCAGACGTCAAATGCAAACTACTTTGCCAACAAATACATTACAACCTAATAAAGTTGACAAAAAACAGCCTGTAGGGCTCACAAAAGTTTTAACTTTGCCTATAGTCACAAAAAAGCGAATTGAAAGGACAACTTGAAATGCTTCAAATGTTAAAAATTTTTGGCGTCAATAAACTAACGCAGAACATTCATCGAGATCGAAACAGCAACATCAAATTTGACAAACAAAGAATCTATTAATATTATCGATACATGAGCCATTTCCACTGGAATCTTTTGGTATAGTTGTTTCAATCAATCCTGGATAATATCCGTCTTCCATTTAAGTATTTAAAAAATCTTTACTAATCAGATGGCACTGTGCCATGTTCTCACTGTGCCCATGGTTTAATCAATATGGTTTCAGTTGAATTTATTTATAATCGGTGTGGTAATATATCCCTATACAAACGTAGTGAGTAGGTTGCCACGGTGTCTAGGCCAGTAGGCTATCGTGAAAACCCGGAAGTAAATAATTTATCAAGGGAAAAAAAGAAAAAAAACTCATAAATAGAAGACAGAAACAGAGACATTTCAAAAATGTCTTTTTATTCCGAATACTATCAAAAATGTTTCTAATAAGTTTCTGTAAATAAAGTTTTTTTCGCTAATACCAAGCTTTTTCTGTTAAGAAGCAAAATATTTTAGCGTTAATATAAATTTTTAACATGCCACAGCCTAGATAAATAGCAATATTTTATGTAAAACAAAAAATCAGTCAAAAACAACGCTGTTCAAAGTTTAAATTAATATTAATAAATTTTTAAACAAAATTTCCGTGTGAAAATCTACTCATTTAAAAAATTTTTATTAAATTAAATTTTTTATTCTAGTGGGAAAAAGAAGCTGAGGAAACTGAAAGATTAAGTAAAAAGCGTGAAATCGAGAAGCAAGAATCTGGTGCAACTGATGATCTGGCTCTTCAAATTTTGAGTAAAAACAAAGCTCGACAATCTCAATCTGAAAACTTCTTTGATTCCCTCATCGAAAAGTATGCTCAGAAAGCAGTAACTCCAAAAAAGAAAGCTGGAACTTCTAAGGCGCAAAAAAAGAAGAAAGCGTAATGGTTTGAACTTAAAATTATTTAATTTACTTTTTATTTATTTGAAAGTTTGTAAATGAAGTTTGATAAAGTCCATATAAAAGGGGGTCATTTCCAAATCGTAGTACTCCATTAAATCATTAGTATTCTTATTACTTACTTCAACTTCTCTGTTTTAAAATTACAATCGCAAGAATAAGTTTCATCTTTTTTATTTTTCAAGTATAATATTTTAAAATAAAAACATTCTAAAAAAAATTCCCTCATCTGCAGTGTAGATAACCTTTTTCTACATAAAATTAAATATATTAGTCTATATTATAAATGAAGTAAATCAAACGCAATGATGATTTTTAAAGAAAAAAATTATTTACATTAATTCATTTTTTACTACTAATTAAAGTTAGAGTACTTTTTAAATTAAATTTGTTATTTGAAAAATCCTAATTTTCGACACTGATTGTTACCAAACATTTAGCGTATTTGTTTGAATATTCTGAGATATTTGTAGTATAAAAAAATTTGTGTGTTATCAGTTTTGTGAGAAATTCATAGATCAAAAGACATACAAATACGTGTAATGCTGTAATCAAACATAATCTACTGTCATCGCAGAAACATTTTCACTTACAAATTTTCACTTTTATAAGATTTTGAATTGAACTATTTTTTATTTATTTTGAATTCAAGATAAACTTTATAAAACTAGATTAACGTATTAGAATACCTTAAAATATTGATTAATTTATTTATATGTGGGCTCGAAATTCTTCTACTTAGCTTACATACATGTGATACAAGAATACAAAATACCAGCACTCAAATTTACCATCTTATCCAACCTACGTGAACGAACTAGTGAAAAAATTTTTAACATAATTTTAGTAAAACCAAACATTGTCATAAAGATTTTGGTTTCCAAGATTTTCGTGTTTGGTTGATAAAATTATAATTAAAAATAATCACACAGCACTCTATAGATTTGTGACAAATAATAGTATAAGACTAAGATATTTCTCTCTCCGTTTTGGTGGTCAATTTTTACGATAGGTTGATAGAGAAGTAAGAAGAAAGATAAACAACTGGAGAAGTAGTGTTTCGATATAAAAAGAAATGATACCTGCACCCATACTCCCACGAAAAAAGTATATATATTACAGATCAGATGTAATTTCTGTTCTTGTTACTTAATTTGCATTTGCGTAGTCCCTACATTTCAAGACGTGTCACAGCAATACTGATACTAATATTAATGTCAGGCTAATGATTGTTTCGAGCACCTACTTAGATGGCTCATAAGTAGACTCAGCTCGTTACTCTCATTGTCTACAGCATTTAATTGTCATCATTTTTAATTTTTAAGATCATCAGATTCTGAAATGATTCAAGTAAAACCTACTTTGTAGTATTGCTATACGTACACATTAGGTTAGAAAATTTTCTTATGGGCACGGAACCCTTGGTGCCTTTGTCAAAGGGTACATCAATAAAACATTTTTTTTGTTGCCACCTAATGCACTAAACTATCTTTTATTTTTTACATAATGTTACTATTGCATAGCAGTTTTTAGCTAATAATTTCTGTAGTTATGTGTAAGCATCTATGCCTGGTGCTAGTTTTTGATAAGGCGTCTTAGACCATGCTTTCTGCGGCCACTGTTATATCTACTTCAGATGACACGCACCCACACTGGAAGTGATAGAATTTTAATAATACGGTTATTTATCACCATTGCTTGCGAGCTCTATTCAAATTTTTTTTTTTTATACACGTACGATAGTTTGACAAGAAAACAGCTATTACTTTCGAGTTGGCCCAATGAACGCATACTGCTTGTTTTTGACAGCATTCGGCAAACTAAGATTTTATTTACAAGAAACTACATCTGGAGCTTTTTTTAGTAGAGGGGCTTCTAGAGGACCTACAGTTTGCGGCACTATCGGCGCCAATCCCCCTGGTCTAAAATCGACTTCTATATCTTTATACTCTGCTTCGTCAGAGTCGGATTCACTTTCTTCGTAACGTCCCCTTTCTTAAAATCAAAGAAAAAAAATATTATTTACAATAATGTCACATAAAAACACATATGTAAAAATGTGTACGTAACAATATCATAACAATTAATATAAAGACAACATATTGATTTTTGTAAACATAAATAACGTAAAAACTAATATTATAATGATTTGTATAATAAAGTTACTAATTTTAACAATATGAATTAAGTTCTGCGGGAGTGTAATGAGTCAAGTTCATGAAGCAGATAAAGTTTAGTCCGACTACAACTCTGTTTAATCGAAAATTGCACACTCGGGTTTCAAAGTAATGAAAAAAAACAGTTTTTTATCAGTAAGTACTTTTTTTATATTTTCCTAAGTATTTTACGACCATTCCGACACACCATGTAATTAACGGCTCTGCATTGCTGCGTTTTTGTGCATGTCAAATGTTGTGATCATTGGCACGTTAAAAAACTGACTCAGTTTTATTAAAAATTAATCGTTCAGTCCTCAGAAATTAATACTTATTGGTTGTCATGAAATTACCTACCATGTACAATACTTTTCAAGTGTGATATTAATTGTTCATAATCATAAAATTGCAAGAAAAACAAAAAAAAATTTAACTCAAAATTTAAAATGACTGCACCAAAAAAAAAAAAAAAAATCCTCAAGACTACGAAGTGCGAGTGGTTATCTCGTAGATAGTTAGGCAAATGTATCCTTTCAAAAGAGAAAATTAATTAACACTACTTGTAAGAGATGGTTATTTTGAGTATTCTAATGGTTTTCTTTTTAAATAGTTAATTACTATTCAGTTTTAAATATTTAAGAAATATATATTTTAGAAAGCATCATACTACTATAGATATTTGGATTTGATTTTTTGTACTTTTCTTTTTTAATCTGTTAAAATATGAATGTCTGTAACTTTTTGTGAAGTACACTAGTTTAAAAAATCTTTCATTTATCATTTATTCGTCAAAAGTAAGAATTTAGATAGTTTCATCGATATCTGAACCATAAGTAAAGTACCAACAGTTTTAATTTTACGGAGTAGCTTAAAAAAGCTAATCATTTGTATCTACAGTGCAAGAATTTAATTTTTTTAATTTTTGCTCTAAGGTTGATGAACTTTATTATTAGATAAAAAATTTTATCTAGTATATCTTATTAAGACTTTTAATAATAGTAAAAAATGGCCTGCTAACACAAAAACCATCTACTTTTCATACATCGACTCCAAATAAAGTCAAAGACCTATTTTTTTAACTGTGTGTTTTTATTGACATTTAAAACTCGTTGATAGCATTGGATTCAAATGAAAATTGGCTAAAATATTGTATCTATTAAAGTTTTTAAATTAAAAAAGTCATGCTTGTATTTAAATATTATGTTACGTAGGGAAGCGTAGAGTCTCACCTATACTATCGTACGTTACAATTGTATTTCTATTAATTAAATTCTCAAAACGTATATATATGTAGAAGCCTTTATGTGTTTACCTATGTCCACAGTTGCCAGAAACAATTTTTTCTTAAAATAT